GATCGCCAGGTCAAAATCTGGTTTCAGAACAGGAGCATGAAGGAGAAGAAACTGAACAGAGATAGATTACAATATTATACATCTAACCCTCTGCTTTAGGGGTCACAACAGCAAGCGTCACAGCTTCCAAAGTCCTCTGCTTGTGAGGACTGACTGCGTTTACAGACAGACTGACTCTCTCCGGCTGTGACTCTCCCAGTGTACATTGTGTACCACAATGGCCGCCGCGACAGCAGCAACCACACTGCTCAATGGTTAATTTCAAGGTCGAGGACAACAGTATCCTGTGATCTGAATAACCTAAAGAGTGAACACGAATTAAGGCAGCCCGTGGACTTTGATTTTGCTCTTCAGACTCTGTTTTGGGAAAATGTAGAAACAGATTTTTTTGTCCTCGCCAAGGCTGTGTGTTCGCGAAGGCCCATGTTAATATTATTGTGACTCACAGACGCCTTGTTTATTTCCCTTTCAGGCGGGCAAAAAAAAATTGCAGTCACTAATTGACTGACTCAGTGTATTTTGTAATCAAAAGATTTATTTTACTTTTTTCTGTTTTTAAAATCAGAAAAGTGGTGAATACCGGATGACGGCAAATATGTGACTTTAATTACTGAATCTATATTGGTGTGACCAAATAATGAGTCTGAACGGATGAGAATGTAATGTGTTTCTGTTTTTGTGTGCTTATTTATTTTGTAGCCACTCGTTTACTCTCTCCTTTTAATGCCACGGATAACCAAGTCCATTATAACAGGCAGGCTGTTGGGATTCCGTGTTCAGTCTGGGCTGACCTCAAAACGAGCTTTTATCGTCTTTCTTGTATAGCCTGAAGAATGAGGGCTATGAGTATTTATATTTTGCGTATCTTTCAATTCCCAAGTCCATGCTGTCCTTTTTGATTTTGGAGACTATCAGTCGAGTATTGATAATGCAGGCCAAACCAGAGAGATAAGCTTGTCTACTGGATCCGTGTGGAGTTGCACTGAGGTACACGCCCAACACATTCACACAGGTATATATGCAGCGGGCCTCTTCGGTCTCATATTGATACGCATAACAGAATATTTTTCTCATGACTCGTGATCCTTTGGTACTTGCAGTCTAAAGAAGATTTAAAAAAAAAAAAAGCTACATTTCCAAGTTTGCTGTCAGGGCAAGGCTGGTCAGGGTCATCGCATTGAATCAATTGCTTGGTATGCCCAAACTATTGTGTATTATACTATATTTCCAAATAAAAAACAAATGAAAAGATTATTGAAAGAAAAACTCTGCGTGGTCATTGTTCTGTTTTTTTACTCAAGCCTTTCATTTTAAAAATGTAAATTTGCAACAAACACGCATGTGAACCATTTTACGCACGCAAAATCTACATATTTATCACAAGTATGTGCCTTGGTATATAATAAACAATTAAACACAACGGATCTGTGGTCTCACATGCCATTAATGAGCCGCTCAACCTAATAGAGGCGTAGTCACTAACTACTTCAAGTTAAACATGTTTTTATGTTTAGTTTTTAAAAAAAGAAAAAAGTTAATATAGTAACACATTAAACAATAAAGCTGCCCAATCTTGTTAAATGGTAACATATTATTTCAAATCTTTATTTATGGGCTTTAAAAGATCAAGTATAAAAAGATATAAACTAAAAAGTGCTCTCTGATTGTGTTTTGCTGTTGTGTTTTGCAATTATTTTAAAACACGTTTCTCAGTATTTTCAGCCATTCGAGATATTTTACAACTCTTGCATTTCATCTAAGAAAATCTTTCTATTGAACCACTGTGGATAGCTTATAGGTCCACCTTTAGCTATATCCATAACATTGTTGCCAAACATTCAGCATTTCAGCATGCACACTTTGTTTTGAACTCGTTTCTCACTATCTCACTATCTCTCTCTCTCTCTCTCTCTGTAGTCTGTGTGTGCAAGATGTCATTTCGCAGATTGGCTTTGGAAACACTCTTCCAACAGCAGTCTCCTTTGGCGAGGGTCGCCATATTTGCTGTTGTTATCACTGTGTTTATGGGAGCTAGCCGCAGCGCATTGGCGTTCATATATGACAGTCAAAAGGGCCATAAACGCGGGGAGAGAGGCTGAAGTTTATGGTTGCCTCTCTCTGCCATAGTCCGGCCTTGCCTTGCGCATCCTTTACTGCGCGCTGGAATTCCGTCCCTAATTACGGGACATCCTCCCTGTTGCCGCAGCAACGCGGCCATAAAAGCTGTCTGAGAGTCTGGGGCATTTGTACAATTGGAGTGCAGTGCAATAAACCGTCTGAGACCCAAGGTTATTAACTGTGTTACCAAGGAGGCGAGAGCAACGACAGGGAGAGGACGGATAGGAAAAGCCTCTGCTTGCTCGCTGCATCGACTTCATTTGAGAGGTTTTTCCCCCTCGTGTGGTTTATCCACCTCGATTCAGTTTAGTGGAGACCGGCTGCACTCAGGATTAGACTCTTTTCTGCCACCGGGCGGCGCTATTGGGACCAATGTCATGGCCGTGGATCTTTTCGTCTCCAAGCCCACCTCGAATGCACGCAGGTAAAAGTAGTTGTCAGCACAGCCTGGAGCTTGAATAGTTTGCAAGAATAAACCTTCTGTATGCCCAGCCCTTAGATTCTTCTCTCGCATGCGAGGCCCGCTTGTTCTGAGATAGGAGTCGCTTTGAGTTTAGTTTCCACATTTTCTCTCTGGTGCTCACTGGGCCGTGCGGTAGAGAAAGTCTTCCTGGGGGCCCTAATAAGGCAACACATCTGTGCCAAGCCTTCATGCTGCATGTGCTATTCATTTTGCTGAGCTTGAGGTTTTTAATGGTTGAAGTATAGCACGGCCGACTCGTACCTGGAGAGATCTGCAACCCCGTCCAGTCTAACCACAAATGTTTTGGATTTGGAGAAAGTCTGCCTTAATTATTTTTTTAAAAATGGATACAGTTAGTATAATCTTAACAATGGAACACTAAGCAGTTGGTGCTGGACGCAAGACAAATGATTTCATTTTTCAAATTTTTCTCATGCTAATGCGGCTCATCTTAAACCACAGCAGCTGCCTTGTATGCTCATTCTTCCTCTTCTTTCTCTTCAAAGAAGTCCACTAACGAAATGTGACGTCCTTCCAAACCACATCATTCTCTGTACGTGCCAAGTGCACAAAAGCTCTGATTATAAAAAAAAAAGATAGATTTGATTGTGATAGGGCAGCACTCGCGTCTCCCCTTCCTTCCTGTCATAGACACTAGATCTGCACCATCAGGCTATCAGTGTCAGTCCAAGTGGCCAGTGGCTATTCTGGACATTAATGCGTGCGGACCAAGTCTCCTTCTCCTTTGTCTCTCGTGAAAAATAAATGCTTCCGCTGGATGTAATAAAACGCCGCATTATTGTTCATAACTGCACTCGGGACGAACATGATACGACTCAAACGGCCTCTTCGGCCACGATTATATGGGCCGGATCAAAGCCAGTGGTCAGAGTAAACTGTTTTGAGGATATAATAGCCGGGCAGCTGTGAAAATGAAGATTTAATAGCTACAATTAATAACTGTAACACGAAGATATCGATAGGCACCCGTGCAGTACAACACCGTGAAGTGTGTAGGCCAAAACAATTTAATACCGTGCACACATAATTAATTGATGTATTTAGTTTCCTTACTGGCTCATATGTCCCATCAGGAACAGGCCGCTGTGGGGACAAGTACACAAACTTTGGACCTAATGCTGTTAGTTTGTCTGTAAGCGGTAGGTTAATATTGTAGTGAATTATTTTATGTTTTTTGGGAGAATCTACTATGCAGCCGTAAGTGCTCGGCGCACGGCCCCTGTCTCTAACTGTCCAGCACTGCAGAAAATGCTCTTTACTTTCTGTATTTCCCTAATATATCACTTTGCTTTTGAAATAGACTATTGCACTATATTCATATACACATAAATAACCTTCAGCCAACTTCCAGTCATTTAAGTCATCTGAAATATGTTCGTTTTGAGCAGGAGGGAGTGACAAATGTCCACCGTCGACGCGCTAAAAATCTAAGCCAGTGTACATAAATGAGCTGTCAATGACAGGAGCGCTTGAAAACCTAAATGGGCTCAATTTATGAATTTCTCCCAAATTTCCTCATTGTAGTACAACAGGCTGCAAACCAACCCGGGGGGCTAGCGGCCACCTGGGCCTGGTAATGGCAAAGCTGGCCGAGATTAACTTCAACCTGGGGAGAGCAATAGAGTGCACATGGCCAAGGACACTAGGAGATGGAAGGAGAGTTTTATTGTGGCCCTTATTGCCCCAAATTGGACCGACAGGATGACTTGTATGTGCAACCTTTACGTCTGCTCTGCTGTAGCACATTGTGCCTGTTCTCTCACGACATCGTGATCAATACCTTGGCAGTTTAACAAATTAGATCTTTTTTTATGCTGAGCACAGTTTTTTATTTTTGTTTTCTTTGGTGTTTATAAGAAAAACAGATAAATACGGCGGTACAAAAAATATATTTTTGTTGTTCCAGGCTTTGAACATGCAGATTGAGCCTTTTTTTGTGTTGTGCGTACTAGTCCGGTGCAGATGAACTCATTTCCACATCCTAAATTAGTGAAAAAAACAGTAATACAACCATTATTAATATACATTCTAATTTCAAATAGTCCAATGAAAAATAGTTTCATGTTTTAATTTGAAATGTGAAATTATATGCACATAAATTGTATATATCATTGAGAGAATACCAGTGCCTACTAGACTCTAATAAAGGAAATTACTGTATATCCTGTAACATACGGTTTTCTTAGAATTTATTTACTAAAGGGTGCACTAATTCGTCAAATACTGAGCCATTTATTTGTTGTATAAAGGCTTTTATAATGTAACTTTTATGGGTTTTAATTACTGGTGACAGGGACTTGGTTCGCCGCTGTTTACACACGGTCATAGCTTGCATAGCATTGTTATTCTTAATTAATTTTACATAATTCAATGTTAGTCCAAAGCCATAGGTTAAAAAAGATTGTGTTTGATGTAAAACAGTAATCTTAGGAGTGCAGCAAGACAGTTCATAGAGGTAAACTTGATGTTAACTACTTCAAAGAGCTTCCCTGCGGAAAAATAAATAAACGAAAATCAAAAATAAAAGGAAGAAAGAAAGAAAAAAGTACACAGTTGTATGTTTGATATTTCTCACTCTTTCTCTAGGCAATATTGGTCTTAACACATTTGCTTTTAGTGCGGAAGAGTTCAGACTGTCTTGAGGCTAAAGGATGCACCATATAAAACGAATTCTTGCCAAGTCATTTCGCCAAAGGCGAATTCTCTCTATAGTTAAAAAACATTTTATTACCACCAAGCCCCATGGTTTTGTTATCTTATGTCTTTTTGGTGGGTTTCGGCAGCTATGTACTTTTAAACTTGATTTTCCACTTTAAGGCCATATCTCATTCATTTAGTAGTAGTTTTAGTGTTTGTAATTAAGGGTTTTAATGAAATGCTTTTATTTCCCCCTTCCACGACTCTCACTTAAGCCATATCCGTTTGATATTTTATAAATCTGATTCTTCTGACTGTGTTGCACCCACTGTTGAGCTTTGTGGTAAAATTTGATTTGCATTTAGGGGAGGGGGGATCAGTGCTTCAGGCATCATTTGGTGGTTTGTGCAGTTGGGAAGTGATTTCAAGGTGTACTTAAGGAATTCGTGAATGTGAATTTGCTTTTTATTAAATATGTATTTTTAAAACTTTGCATCGTTGGACCTCGCCCCTTCTGCGGGGGTAATGGTGGTGCATTAAGGCGAGGTGAGGGAAAACACTGATTACTGTGCTGTCTCCTTTCTCTGCCTCAGCTCCATGATAGATATCGCTCCGGCTGCGACGTAGCCGCGGAGTGGGAGGGACTGCCCATCTTCCAGCATTTCCATTGGTTTTACAGTCCGCACGGCGGAGAGGGGGGTGCCTCTAATCATATCCAGCATGTTTTGCACAAGAAATGTCAGCCAGAAAGGGCTATCTTCTCCCCTCGCCAAAATACACCACAATAATGTCATGTTCGGACACCCCGTCAGGAAATGCGTTTTTAGTGGATTCTCTGATCAGTGGCCGCACCGAGAGCGGCGGAGGTCACTACACTGGGAGCGCGGTGTGCGTGCCCCATAGCACCGCTACAGAAGTGCCTTACGGACTACACAACTATGGATACTTCCCAGGTATGGCTAAGCGGAACGAAGTGGGTCCCCAAAACATGGTTTCCGCCTCAGGCGCGTAC